CATAAAGTCACCCTAGGACAACAGTTAACATTCCAAACAGGAAATTTGGGACAGGCACACTTTAGGAATAGGACAGCAATGTGGGGGTGATAGGAGTCAGTTCCAGACACCTGACACAAGAACATGCAGAATGTCATGTTTTGATCACCTGGCATACACATATTCCCACCACAGAATGATATCCCATTATGGGAAGCCACTATATTTTGGCCACATGACAAAAACACATCCAGGCAAAGACTGAAAAAGGACTGATGGAGAGTAGGAACACCAGCTGAGTAAGGTGTCAGCTGTATTAATTAGCAAATAAATCACTTGCATATATGAGGAATTATAATCATTGCACAAGAGCAAAGTACCACCATGAACACTAAAAAAAATTTAAGACTTCAAAAGAATGGAGGAAAGCAAAACATTACCATGTATAATGAAGAAACTAGAGAAAACAGGGAAAACTATGAAAGTGTTTCATCATACAGTTCAATTTTTAAACTTCTTGTACAATTGGATCCAATGGACAGCCTACACTCTGAGTGGCTTTTTTTGCAGTTTTGTTATTACATATTTCAGCTACATTTGTCTGTCTGAACAAAAAACCCCATGATTTATCAGTCATGGAAAGGCATTTTTACCTGTTTCCAATGGCACCCTCTTGTTTACAGCACTGAATAGAAGGTAAAGTCGATACAAAACCCATAGAGAAAGAGAATAAAATGACTGGTGTAGATGGATTAATGGAGTAATTTAATGGATGTATTTCCTGTCATAAAAAGGCTCTTGCACGTTTCTTATGACTTGCCAGCTTGTGAGTAATGAAGTATGTGATCTTCTAGCTACTTAATTATTGTAATGTTTCTATAGTTGGGTTTTGCTTAGGAGTTATTTAATAATCCTTTTTGTCACATTCTATTTCAACCCTCCTTTATCACATAGATAATTAAAAAGAAAGAGATTTACCACTTCTCTTTTTCTGATCAGAGAACTCATTTGGATAAAGTAACATACATGCCTTCATGTTTTCTAAGCCCTTAATCTCAAACAACAAACATCAGTTTAGAAACTGAAGGTTATGCTAGACTCATTACCAGATTACGTGTGGTATGAAGAAAGACCCTGTTGTAAACAACAGCCTCTGAGATGCAGAGGAACAGATAAATGAAATCCTTCCATTTCAAAAGAGCAATTTAATGAAGTTCTTTTTCCTATTTTTATCCCTTCAAAAACAAGGTTCAGGAGATTTCAGAGGAAAAGGTTTTCATTAGTAATGAGCATCTTAGCAGAAAGCTCATAGATTTAAAGCACAGAGGCCCTTTATTCCTATTTAATTGTCAAAGGAAACAACCATGTTTTATTTTTGCCTTTTCCTCATTTATTAATTGCACAGAGAGCTGTTTCATTTAGCATATTTAGTTCCTTACAGAATCAAACTCAACCAAATAAAAATGTAAATCCTGCTCAAGCTGTGACAGCTCAGAGTACTGGCAGACAGTTAAGTCTGAGTTTAAATTCATATCCAACACAGAAGTCATGATCACATAATCTGCTTTTCCTAGCCTTATAGCTGTGCTGGATTTCTACAGAGGAACACCAAGGCTGCATTTTGGATTGCCTTTGGATTGCCACACTGGCATTCTGCACCATGCTTCTGCTCAGCCTCAGTGGACACGGGCAGAGAAAGAGATGATCTCTTTCCCAGATTTCTAAAGAGCTTCACATCTTTTTAATTGATCAACACCACACATGTGTGACAACATTCACACTAGAGAAAACAGCTTCTTCTTTCTTCCCAGAGGACAAAAAGTTGTTTTGGATCCCCAGCTGGCTTGAGAGAATGTAAGTCTATGAAAGCTGACAATTATCAACCCAGATATTTGCCAGACAAGGATCTCCCTTGGAGAGTTTCAAAATAATTTCTCCTCTCCATAGCATTCAAATGACACTTACTATACTTGGTCCATGTAAAACTATGGTAAGTCAGAGAAGACATAATTTCTCCAACTCCTACAGCACTGTACCAAGGAGATGATCACACTGCAACCCAGCACAGACTGAACCAAGGAAAAGTGTGAGGAGCAGTGCAGATGGGCTGTGATGGACTGACCATACCCACATTCCCCACTCCCTCTGCCACTCAGGGTGGGGAAGAAGAGGAGCTGGGGATGGAGGAGTGAAATTGAGCCTGGGATAAAGCCTGAGGGAGGAGGGGAGGGAAGGGGAAAGTTTTCAAAATGAGATGACGTATTTAAAGAAGACATGTCCTCATCTGCTTTTAGGAAAAAAAAAAATCTGTGACTTAGTCATGCCAAATTTCGGGTCAAAGGAATATAACAACTGCTGACTGATCTTCAAGTCTATGCATTGGAGTATTTAGCCATAAAAAGTCAGAATTATCAAATGTCTTCTTCAAGCTGTGTTGTGGCAAACAGCACTTGCAAGAGCCTCCTCTAGGATTCAAATCCACCCAGATACACACAAACCCTTCCAAATGTGTCAGAGCCACTCACACTCGGCTCTAATTCAATATCAATTTACATTTGTTAAACAAACATACCAAAGACAAGGTGCCAGCTTGGTGCTGAAGGCATGGTTACAGCATTTCAGCAGTCACTCTGAAGAACCCCCTGGTCAAGGCCTTCAGCAGGCCCTCTACATCAGGCTAGACAAATGCTAGTGAGCTATGCACTCACAGGAGTGAGAGATTAAATCCACTTGTTCTACTGGAAGCCTCCTTCTTACAATGTGATGTCCTATGCTCTTGTGTCCATCATTCCTAACCGCACGTGGTCTGGAACAAGGTACTCAGAATGAGAAACTCCTTTGATGCTTGTAAATGGAAAAAAACAATTTTGAAATGAAAAAATAGAAAAACAAGTCAAAGCAAACATTCACTCGGTGATCAGGAAAAAAAAAATCACTTGTCATTCTACAACATCCATCTTAAATACATGCTTTGTCATTTCCAGATGAATTAAGGATTCTGGTGTTCTACCATAATTTTATTTACTTAAGCCCAGGAAGCATGTGATATGTTTTAAAAACTGTGGATCAATTCTGTATTAAAATACCATCACTCCGCCTACTCCTTCAAAGTGCTATAAAATATACTGATGGGAACACTGGAATATTCCCCAGGTACCATGGCTGAAACAAAACTTGCATCAGAGGAGTCATTCTAAAAAAAAATAAACTATCACCTTCCCACTCAGTCTTCCCCAAGTACCAGGCAGTCCATATGCCATGTCATTTTTATCCTCTCTGGTTTTAGTCAAGAATATAAACCTGTGATAGATGAGTAATGCAATGATTGACTCTCACAATTAACAGACAAATATCATGTATATAGGTTAAGAAAAGTTTTATAGATTTATAGTTATGTTGTACCCCCTCGCGTTGTTATCAAGGGACAGCTGGGGTTGGGACATCTGGGAGGGCTGGCTTGTCACTATGGTGACATCTGACCTCCAATCAGGGTCTGAGGAAGTGATCTCCACCACTGGACAGCAAAGAAGGGGTCGATGGATGGACGGAACCTTGGGAGGGGTTAAAGGGTTAAAGGCAAAACCTCCATTGTGTGGGTGAGCACATGGTGGGAAAAATCCTTTGCTCCTGGCGCTGAAATATTTTCTCTATTCAGCCTTCTGTTGTATTTTTTGATAAGGTTTAATAAACCCTTCTAAAATTATTAAAAGTAAGTAGCCATTTCTCACAAACCAAAAATAAGTCACAGACTGTATGCTAAAGGCTATGGAAATTACTAGTAATTGATGCAACAGAAAATAAGATGCTCTATCATGAAGAACCACATTTTATCTTTCATTTAGGTTTGCCCTTGCACATGAATGTACAACTTGTGAGATGTGATGTGAAAAATGCATGTATTTTATGATTGGCTTTTCACAAATATTAAAACAAATATTATATGTCTTGTGTTAGAAAGTAATGCTGTATTAATTCTCTTAAGTAGTGGGATAATATAGTTTTAGGTTATAAAAAAGTGTTAAAATAGAACTGTGCTATGTAGGGTATTTTTTTTCTAAAGAAAGGACTCGCAGGGAGATAGCAGCCACAGGACACCTAAATCTTTCAGAGAAAGAGAATTTATTGCCCCATTGTCAGGAGAAACGAACTTCTTCCCGCCTCGCTCGGGGTTAGGCTTATGAGGAAGAAGTTGACACTGACCAGACAGAATCCTGTGTTTGAATGGAATTTATGCATCATGTATGAGGTGTATGGATATGCAACAGGCTGTTGTTTTTAAGGGTTAATCCTCTGTTATCGTGTGTCCTTTTTCGGGCTTATGCTGCCCAGAAAAAGGTACCTGGACATCTGTAACTCTTTGTTCTTATTGTCTCATATTGTCCTAATTCAAATTGCCCAAATTATTATTACTCTAATTGTATTACCATTTTATTACCATTAAACTTTTAAAATTTTAAAAACAAGTGATTGGCGTTTTTCACACATGACTCAGACGATTCTCACCTAGAATCTGTTCAATAAATTCCACCAACAGCCAAAACATTATTTAACAAAAACAAACAAGTGAATAAAAGTGAAAATGAAAAAAAAAAGTACTCAAAGCAATATGAATTCCAAATCCAAGTAATTTGAATTACTACTCAGTCACTATCAACTCAGTGTGAGAAACCATTTCAACAAAACCTACAAGATTTCTATTCACAGATCTTTGCAGCTCAAGCTTGAAACAAAGTTCTCACTATCTCTAAAGCTTAGCTTCAGAAATTATATTATTGTACACAAACTAAGGACAGAACCCACAATTTTAACAAGCTTTCTGGTATGTTTCAAAAATTCACGTAACATGAGACCTCAAAGAAATACCAAAGATTGTTACCAGCAAGGAAAAAAACAAACAAACCTGAAAACAACAAACCCAAACACTGCCTCAGTTTATTGCCAAAACATAGTTTTGCCACAGCAAATTTACACTGACTTCATGAACACAGCACACCTTTTTTTTAAAGTGCAAATATACTCACGAAAAGACATTCCCAATGTAGGCATAATATGAACAGCAGTAGGGAGCAGTCCCATCACAGCAGTAAGCCTTGCAGTCATTATCACACTGAGCCAAACAATCTTCTGCTGAATAAAAACAACACTCATGATGTCAAACATCAAAATCTCATACAGCACAGCTTTGAAGAAAATGCAGTCTAACAGTTTCATACAATCACAGCGCTGTCCTTGAGGTGTGATCTGACTCTGTAATCCTAATGGCAGCCCATTCCCACTCATTCTGCATTTCAGATTTAGGTGCTTTCCATGGAGTATTCTATAGCTGGCCATATCAGTTCCCCCTTTTACTTAATCCTTTAAAGTGAAAAAGAACATTTTGAAATGCCAAGACACCACAGACCAACTTTTTCCATTCCAGCAAGGAGTCCAGAAGAAACCTGAGTCTGGACTGCTTTTCTTGTTGATCTGGAGGGTGGCAGGAGAGAATGAAGCTGTCTGAGAACAGGCTGTTTCTCCCAGTCCCTGCCCAGTCCCAGCCTGGGGATCCCTCATCCCTTGCCATGTGGCAGCAGTTCCCCTCACTGTGCTCCAGCACAGGGCCATGGCCAGGGTGGCAGGGCAGTGCCTGGCACAGGGGCCAGCAGCGCCCTCCCTGCCCCACTGAGGGCACTTGAGGCCACAAGTGCTCCCAGCCACAATGCTCTGCTGGACCAAGCAATCTGTGAAACAACAATAAGAGAGCTCTTTACAACTAAGAAACACAGAAGAGCAGCTATCTTTTTATTCCTACGAGAAGCTATTTTAACAGTATCTACCTCTTGTGCGGTCATGTCATTTAGTGGTTTCAAAGCCCTAAGTCGGGTTCCCCCAAGAAGACGACACTGTACTGCCACTGCACTGTAAAAACATTCTTGGGGATCACTGTCCCCACAGTCAAGGCTTCAGCTGCACCCTGGATAAATTCAGAGAGACTCTGTGCCCCATACACCATCACCCTTGGTGACCTATTTGGTCACATACTGCAGTGGCAGAGACTTGAAATCAAAGATGGCAAACCATGCTTCTGCATTCCCAGTGCACTGTAGCTCCCCTTTCCCAGGCTGCAACTCACTGAGAGGTTCTAATTCTCCCACTGCCATTACTGCCTTTCATCTGTGCTGACCCTTTTGGTTGGTGTGCTGGGATCCGGGCAACCCTTCCTCATCTCGGCTTCTGCCATGCTCCCATTCCTGCCCCAAGCAGGTGAAAGTTCCCACCTTGCCCTGAGACTCCTTTGCTCACTGACTCATGCTGCTGACCAATCTCACAGCCTGACTGCTCACAGGATTTTAGCAGGTCAGCTCTCTGAACCTGCTCACACTCGGTCTTCACTTGAAAATGAGCACCAAGCGTGGGCTGAAGAGGGCTGTGCAACACAGCACATGGGGCAGCCCAGGCAGACACACCCTAACCCTGTGAGATGACCGCTGGATTAAAAAAACACATGAAAAAACCCAGAACAACCAACCCATCATCCTACTAACCAGCCCTGCCAGCAAGTCAATCGGGGCAGCCAGCAGGACACCCATCTCCAGAGGGAGAACAGCAGGCCATGGGTAGCACAGGCACTTCTATAGGAAGCAGCAATGCAGGATGACTGCCACACAGGACACCCCATCCCACGGCTCTGGCAGGGCTGCCATCTCAGGACACCCCATACCAAGGCTTTGGCACAGCCCTGTGCCAGCAGCTCCAGGCTTTTGCAATGTCACCTCTTTCTGGCATGGGTACTCATGGCTCCAGCTATGCCATGCCAGGACACCTCCAGGCTCTGCCCTGGCAAAAGGGCAGAGGTGCCTTCACCCTTCACATCATGGGTCTATTCTACACGGGTGGGTTCACAGAATCACAGAACCATAGAATGGGTCAGGTGGGAAGGGACCACAGTAGATCATCTGGTCCAACCTGACTGCTCAAGCCGAATCCTCCTAGAGCACACGTGGCACGGAATTGCATCCAGACGGTTCCTGACTTATCTCTTTTCAGGGAAACTCCACAACCACTCTGGGCCATCTGTTCCATTGTGTGGACATCCTCATAGTCGAGTTCTTCCTCATGATCAGGTGTTACTTCCGTGCATCAACTTCTGCACGTTGCCCCCCCTCCCCGCTCCACTGCTCCGTACCACCGAGCCTCTGCTCCATCCTCTTGGCACACCCCCTTCAGATATTTACAGATATTTATACACGTCAATGAGGTCCTCCCTCAGCCCTGTCTCCTCGAGGTTCACTCTCCCTGCAGCCAGAGAGGGGCTCCCGCTCTGCTGGGACAGCCCGGGGACCCCCTTGCAACTCCCTATGCCAATTCAATCGGAAAAGCTTCCACATCGGAGCTAAACTTCGCCGGCCCCGCTCACACCCGCTGCCCGCAGCTCCGCGCCCGTCCCCCGCCTCACGCCCGTCCCGCTGACCTGCCAGAAGGAGGAGGAGGAGGAGGAGGAGGATAGGGGGAAACAACACCCCCAAGGCCGGGTACCTCTCCGTCCGGCCGCGCCGCCCCAGCCGCTCCATGCCGGCTGCAGCACGGAGCCGCCGTCCGCCTCATGGCGGGGGCGGGTCAGCCCCATGGCGGGGGAAGAGGGCAGGCGGAGCCGGGCGGGGCCCCTCGGCCCCTGCGACCGCCCCCGAGCGGGGCCGGCGGCTCCTGGAGTGCTGGCGGCCTGTGTCTCACTCCGGTCGTCTCTTTTCTGCCTTCCCGCTGCCTTTGTCCTGCTCGGCCGCCGTGGGGTGACCCGGTACCGGTGTCACACCGGAGGGCTGAAAGGCGGCGCCGGTGTTGTTTGCGCCGCTTTGATCATGCGGTGTTCGAGGGGGGCTCCTGCCGTGATTTAAATCGAGATTGTCTTTAAAGTGGGATTGAAACTGTGGTTGTGTGAAAAACGCCAATCACTTGTTTTTAAAATGTTAAAAGTTTAATAATAATAAAATGGTTATAAAAATAGTAATACAATTAGAGTAATAATAATTTGGACTATTTGGATTAGGACAATATGAGACAACAGAAAAAAAGAGTTAGGGACGGTCCGGGTACCTTTTTCTGGGCAGCATAAGCCCGAAAAAGGACACACATTAACAAAGGATTAACCCTTAAAAACAATGGCCTGTTGCATATTCATACACCTCATACATGATGCATAAATTCCATTCAAACAAAGGATTCTGTCTGGTCAGTGTCGACTTCTTCCTCTGAATCCTAACGGCGCCTTCGATCCTGAGCGAGGCAGGAAGAAGTCAGCTTCTTCTGATAATGGCGCAATAAATTCTTTCTCTGAAAGATTTAGGTGTCCTGTGGCTGCTATCTGGTGCGAGTACCTCATTCCTTTCTTTAGAAAAAAAATATCCCACTTACATAGTTCCTATTTTAAATATAAAAGTTACCTTTTAACTACAAAACTACATTTATCATACTATTAAAATGTTAATACGGCTCTACTAATCAATACAACAAAATACATATAGTAAATATCTGCGTAGAGCCATATAATATGTACTTTTCACAGGTTGTTTGTGACCTGAGATCAGAGGCATGGCCTGTTTGTGCCTCAGTGTGTTCCCAAACCTCAGACAGCCTTGTCCGTGCTGCCCAGCAATGAATGTGTTCTGTGACCAGGCCAGAACAATGCTCCTAAGTGCTCTTCAGGAGTGATTTTTGATAACTATTTAAATGCTGCCAAAACTCGCCCCCGTGTAAAAATTTCCACAGATGGGGCCCAGAGGCCAAAAATATTTGCTTTGTGGTCTCACAAATCAGAAGAGTTAGCTCTGACTTCGCATGAACAGCTGCAGGTTGAAGAATGTGCTTTGGAAGGCTGAAATATGCACACAAAAAATGAAAAACATCCACAGGTTTTTTTTGCTCATTAAAGGTTTCCTGCTGTTGGCTGCTCTGAGAGGAAGGCTGACACAGAAACATACAATGAATCTTCTTTCCCAGATAGACCTGCCAGCACTTCTTTCACTCTCATGTCTTTGTTGCAAGCATCCACTAGCTGCTCTAATTGAAAAAGGCTCTAGAAGTAAAAGCCAGGTGCAGGGCTGCACCTTTCACGTGCCCCACATAAACCACACCAACTCACCTGTCCTTGCCTTCTCCACTGCATTTACCATTGATCCTGGAGCCTAAAGGCACAATTGTTTCCACAGAGGGGTTGGAAGAGGCATAGGTAGCAGCACAAGTAGCTCTTGCTGAGTTTTAATCCTTATGACTGCCACGGTGAATTTGGTTGGTAGGCCTATGCCTTGGGTTTTAGCTTTTATATTTTTCAATTCTGTACTGCTTTAGTGTGTAGTTCTGAGCTTCATAGTAGGGGTTAGGAAGCTCTCTTCATAGTGTAGGTAGACAAAACAATTCCTTCTCTAGCTGGGGACCAAGGACAAACAATCCAAATCTCAGGCCAAAGAGCAGTTACAAAAGTAGAAATATTCAGCAGCTGGTCCCACAGAAAAAAGTCCTAGAAGAAAATGAGCCGAGCTAGAATTCCCTTTTTTTTTGCAGCCTACCAGCTGCACAGCCAACAATAAAATGATTTGTTTTCCTTCCCAGCGCTATACCCAGTCATGTTCTTTCGGTCTCAAAGAGCCAGGATCCACAACAGAGATCTTACCCTAACTGCTCCCACACTAACGGGACAGAAAAACACTTGGCTTTTTCCTGGGCGCCATGAGCACTCATAAAAACAACCACATGATGACGCTGTCCACTTGAAAAGAAAACAAATTTTTCAAAGGACATTCACCTCGCCTAGCTCTAATCCACACCCAGTGCAGATCCAAGTTGCAAATGCCACTGCTCTCCAATCAACTTTGTCAGGACAAAAATATTTCGCTGATCTTCTCCTTCCAAGTGCAGACTCGTATTTGCACCACACTCAAAAGGCAACACGAACTCCTTTGTGCTAATAACTCTTTTCACTCTCAACGAGTCAGTTACAAACTTGAACATATCAGGCAAAAAACAGCTCACAAATATGTCAGCTGAAAAAGCTCTTGCCGCCTACAACTTCAACCAAACCCATCCAACTGCATCCATCGAAGAGAAGAACTTCCCAAAGCCCTTTTCAAAAGAAGTGGCATACTCTCCTCCTAAACAGTCAGCCTCCAGGGACTGATCCCATACGAAGGTGCCAGAGCACTTGTTACCAAGCATTCCCTGCCCCCAGGCCTGTATCAGCTGCATTCCAAGACCGAGCATGCAGAGTGCTTACCTTGGCCAAAGTAAGGGCAGTGCCAGAATTTCAGAAGACCACCTCTGAGGAATGGAAAGCACATCCCTATTTTGTACTAGAGGATGACCATCTATCCCCATTGGACAGTGTGAGGACCATTGTTCCTGCCTAGGTCTTTTAAATATTCCGCTGATCAAAATAAAATACAATAAAATGAAATAAAATGAACTGAAATGAAATAAAATAAAATAAAGTAAAATAAAAATCACTACAAAACCACCATGAACATCTCTGAAGATGGAAGGGATAGGCAGTTCCAGACCAGCCACAGGCTGAAATTACACCTGCATTCACTTAAAAAAAAATTATTTTGATGTTCCAGTTAAATCTGGTATCTTTTAAGGACAGTTTGCACACTTAAGGTTATTCCTGGCCTGGTGGCCAGAACACCTTAGCTGCAGTCTTGCTTCACACCATTGGGTGTCATCTTAAAACCACCAGTCCTGGACTCTATAGCTTTATCCAGGCTGCGTTTCAGTCTATTCTTGCTGTGCTTTCCAATAGGAATTTCTTGAAAAGGTGCTGTCCTCTTTTCCCTACTGCTATGAGTATCCTTGAAATTGCAAATGCAGGCAGAGGTCCGGCAGTCTGGGTTTGTACAGTATGGAGCATGGGAATAAGGAGGCTTGTAAGAAACAGAGGCAGAGATTTTATTGGACCTGCAGTAATAGAACAAGTGTGAATGGTTTTCAATTGCAAAAGGATATATTCAGACTAGACATGAGGAAGAAATTTTTTCATTCTGAAGGTGGTGAGGCAGTGGCACAGTTTACCCAGAGAATCTGTGGCTGTCCCATCCCTGGAAACATTTCAGGTCAAGTTGGCTGGGGCTCTGAGCAATCTGAACTAGTTAGAGGTGTCCCTGCTCATTGCAGGGGGGTTGAAACTGGGGGACCTTTAAAAGTCCCTTCCAACCCAAACCATTCTGTGATTCAGTGAAACTCACGGTAATGGCAGCAAAAGTCTGGAAATGGCTGCTGGGGAAAAGAGTGTGTTTGGGGCTTTTTTTTTTTTTTTTAATCCCAGATGAAGTTTGTTTTAAATAAACTTAGATCAGAGTGGCCAAGACAAGTCTGTTTTAATCCAGATTACTAGATGGTGGAAAATGGTCTACATGTGAATGTAAAAACCCTTCATGGGTGCCCTGTGCTGTCTGTACAGAATTCTCTGTACAGAATTCTTTCTGTAGCATTTTAGCACCTTGAGCAGAAAAGTTTGAAGCAGACTTATGGCCTTGCTTTGTAGCAGATGGATGCAATGAGAGCATGGATGTACTGTGGGAAAAAAGAGGGGTCAAAGCTGGTGTTTGATTACAGCCCGAATATTAAACATGGGTCGAGATTCCTTCCCAAAACCAAATCAAGTTCGCCTCTGGTTACATCTGTCTAAAGATACACAGAGGTGAACACGAGGGGTACATGGAGAGGAGGAAGGGTGGCTTTTGGGCCCCTAGGAGAAGCACTGAAGCTCATCACCCAGATCCACTACAAATCTCACCTTGGTCAAAACTCTCAGCCTCATTACAGATGGGTCCTCACATGCAAAAAAGAGACTGTCACAGCAGCATGTAGGCATCTCGCAGAGAAGAGGATCTACAGCTCAACAGAGCCTCTTTCCTTGAAAAAAGCCTCAAGTTTATTTATGTTTATGATAGAGGTTTCATGATAATAAATCCCCTAACAGCTGAGGTGGGACAGGTCACAGGACAGAGAGAGAGGCAGAGAGGCATCTCAGAACATGGCATCTGCATTTGTTTTCATCAGCATCCCACTGACTTGGGAAGGAAGAGCCTCCAATTACATCTCACTGTTTCTTGTCATGGAAACAGCTGAACCAGGACCCTGAGCAGGCAGGTGAGGCAGTGCATGCTGGGCAGATGGGTATGTGTTGGACTGCTGTCCCTGGAAGGAGCAGATGGTTGGAAATACTCAAATACATATACAATTTCTCTTTTTCTCCCTCTCCTGGGGGAAAAAAAGAGAAAAAAAATGGGATACTTCTCTACTTCTTTGACCCTTTGGCATTCAAGGAAAGCTCAGAAGTGCTCCATAGCAAAATGTGGATCTTCCAGTGCCATCCCTCAAACAGAGAGGATGCCCTGAGCACATCTACCTAGAAACAGTGATCAGAAAAAGGAAAAATTAAACAGGAAGATGAAACAGGAAGATCAGGGCATGTATTACCTCAAACTCCCCAAGTATTACTAGAAAAGCACTAGGCCAGCCCAAGGATGTTTGGAAGCCTTGGAGCAAGGATCCTCCTTGACTTTCTGCTTTCCCTCCCCTT